AATGCAGTCCCTCGGACTTGGCTGTTTTTTTCCTGCTTTATACATAGCCCAGTGATGTGATTGCTGCGCCAATTGCACCAAACTGCGCCTATGGGCTAACCCTGCTACATCCTGCTACATTTTTCCAAAATATGGGTAATCTGCGCCAAGCCTGCGCCAAAGGACCGATTTCGGTCGCCTTTCAAAACCGAAACTAAACTGAAAACCGCAATAGACCGATCTCACCAGCTAGTTTGAGTATGCCACCGCTGCCGACGTGCATCGTGGGAGCTGTAGTCTTTCTGCATGCGCGATAACCCTGCTGGAGGTCTGCGCGAGCAGAGCACGAGGCGGCATGAGCTGTCTCGTGAACTGGCGTCTGCCTCCTACGAACTACAGTTATGGCGGCGTCACGCATGCGTGGTACGCTTGGTGGGATCGGTCTATTAGGCATGCGTGAGCTAGGTGGCGCAAGCGGCTCCTGACACAAAGATACCCTGCGTGAATCGTCCATCCGGTCCCCCGTTATATAGTTTTTCCCGCCGTCTCGCGTTTCGCGCCCTCGTCGCTTCGGGAATCTCGTCTCGCGTCTTTTTTCTAATTTTTTCAACGATAGACGCGGGCATGTGCGGACGCTCTGACGTTAGTGTGCCGGGTGCCAGCAATGTCGTCATGCTGTGAAACAAAACCACGTTTTTGCGCGGCGAGAGTTATTTTGTGAGCTGAAACGCTCGCGCTGTGCACAATTACTGTGGTCGCGCGACATCGGGTGTTGCCGTCCCCACGTCGCTGCAGATATGGCGCTTCCTAAACTTATTCATCGACATTCCTGTCTTTGTTTAAATCATACTCTAATACAAAAATCCCTCTTTAACTCAATGACTGCTTGTCGAAATATTGATTACCTAGGTTTTTCTCGGTAGGCTTTCCTTCGAGAGAACCCCGGTACGTGAAAAATATGCCGTGAAAGAAAGTTGGTGAAGAGAAGTGAGCTAAAACAAAGAAGGCAATGTCTGCACGCTGAACCCGCACAGCGCGGTTGTTTGTCTCGAGTTCAGTCGTTGCACAAAGTGCTCCAAGAACTTTTTGACCCTGGCTCGCATGTCCTGCATCGATGCGCTCAGGTTCTTTTTCTTTTTTTCTGTGTGTTCAGCTTTGTCTTGCCTTCCGGCCTGGCAAGCACGCGCCGCTGGACTGTTTTATTATTTTTTTATGTCGCATGCTGGACAATTGCATTTTGCATACCACGACTACGACAGAGGCACCAGCGGAACGCTTGCAATCCATTGTTTAACGTTTGCTTACTTTTGATGGAAATCTGGCACGTCGGGAACCAGTAAAACGGTAGCGTGCGTTCTTTTTGGAATTGCTCGGCAACGCCTACAATACACTTGTGGGATGTCTTAGCCGTAAAAACACAAACAGCGAGTTCTGTCAGAACACAGCACGAAGTGCCTTTCGTTTGTCCGCCACTTAAAACGAATATTTTTAGCTTAGAATATCTGCTCCAAAAGCCACTTTCGCTGCTCCAAAACACTGTTTTGGCTGCTCCAAAAGGTGCTCCAAGATGGCTTAGGCCAATCACATCACTGATAGCCTATAACTTGCCTTTTCTTTATGCTTGAGCTAAATGCTTTTCGTGTGAAATTATGTGTTATAAACGGTGCCGTTTCATGGCCGTTGTGCGGCATGTACACTAACGCTTCGATCGATGCTTTGGGTGGTCCGCAAAAATGGCTTTCTCGACGCGCCGAGATTTACTACGCAGGTATGGCTAAGTAGTGCATGCACGCAGTGAAAATATCAACAAATAAACTTGCCTCGATGGAGAAAAAAAAACAAAAAAAAACACCTTTCGGGCAATCTACAGCGCCATTTCTCGGGCGACGCGGGCGGTGCAGGTTGACTCGGAGACACCGCTGACAGATGGCATATTTCATTTATTTATTTACACCTGAAGGGCATTTATACAATACAGACAACGCAAATAGGTCATTTCATGTCAAAACGTCCCAGACATTGCACTTGACCACCCCTCATTTAAAAAAAAAATTATAGCCTTTTGTTGCAATGTTTGTAGTCATGCCCTGAAATATTTTTGATGGCTTGAGCGCGGTTTTAATCTAGGTATCACTCAATAATTGGTGAAAAATCAGCTTTGTTATGAAATATCCAACAATATTTTTTTTTCTTGAATTTGCACAACTTTCGACTTATTGTGGTTAGGCTTGTGCAGTTTTGTTTAATTTTAATATTTAAAAAAAAAAAAAATTTTTCTTTAAAGTTTTAATGTTTTTGTTATTTTATTAAAAAAATATCTATTTACTCCCGGGACTTATAATAACTTTTTACCGGCTGCCTTGTAGGTGTATAATCTGTGAAGAATGTTTAAAACCGCTCAGTTAAATAAATATCTCTCAGTAAAACAAAATCCTGAAGTTGCAAAGAAGTATGCTTTGACTCATAAACGGCCGTTTATTTCACCCTGAGGTGGTCCAAATAAAAATACAAAGTATGATAAGTTTGGAAGAACAATAGATTGTCTTTTGATTCTGAAAGTTTAATCAAAGTAATTTTTGTTTAAAGCGAGAAAACGATTTTTGAAGTTGAACATTCGCACCACAACCTGGCGTCGCTTCTTAACGCCTCTTTGCCGCACAGCACGCCGCCTGCGACGATAGCTGAAACGATTAGGTCCAAAGAAAGAAGGGAGTTTTCTGCCGCTTCCCCTTGCCCGTCTTTCCGGCTGCAAGGGAAGAAACGGCGAATATGGTGTAATAATCAGAGGTGGCGCCAGTGCGTAGCCATAGCAGGCCCGTTGTGCCATTTGCACCCGAGGGCGGCTCCTTACACTCCGAAACGCTATGCCTAATCGACGGGTGGCATCAGCTGACGTGGACTTCACCATGCCATACCAAAGGTTCCTAAAATAAAATTAATGGCTCTTCACCGTAATGTTAGCGGTGCGCCTCTCTAAAAATATTTTTGACGAAAAACAAATTTCATGGGGTGATGGTGGTTTGAACTCGTAAAAAGGGAGTGAAACTAGGAGTCATTTAATAATTGAGGAGATTTTTTTACGGAACACTGGAATATGTTTGCCTAAAAACTATATGGTATTTGGATTGCTATGTGATGAGGAGAGATACTAAGGAACATCTCGGGCGGAACCAGCTGCACAAAGGAAGGAGGGAGGGAGAAAAGAGAACCGACCGCCTTTCCTTCCTTTGCTCAGCTGGTTCCACCCGAGATATACCAACTAGCTCAGCTCATTCGCATTGGATGAATCAATTCTAGAGGTGAGCCTATGTATCGGGTGGCAGCTTGCGCCACCTAATGGCGTAGTGCCTACTCGCATAGCACACAATCGCGTTGGTTCCAGTGGGCCTAGGTTTCGTTCGCTTGGCGGAATTTCATTGTTTTATATTCAGTTTTCTGGCCGATTTTTGTAGAAAACACTGTGTAGGTACCAAATTTCCATCCTTGTACCCGATATGAAAAGGATGATTGCGACACTATATGTAATTTCTTTTAACTTGGAACCAATGCAGTTTTTGACGATTCTGAGAAAATTAATTGGTATAAGGAACATATTGTCGTACGCGGTATTGTTATAAGTGGATTGCGCCGTAAGGAAATTTACAAGGGTGCACTGCCTCGGAAGTCAGCAGTTCAGGGAAAAGGGCTAATGTTGGGTGTAACATGTTGTGAAACATTTCGCATGCTGGCATTTAGTAAAACAAAATATCTTCGATAAGACAAGTTGGATAGAACAATGTAACATACGACTAGTTTATTTATTTAAATATAGCTGGACATTATTTTCCCAGCACCGTCCTTTAAAATTAAAATGAAGTACCGTATTCACTCGCGTAATGAACACACTTTTTTTTTTAAAATTGACTCATATTTGAGAGTGCATTTATTACGCAGGGTAAAATTTCTGCATTTACGCACTTTGCAAAAATGTTATTTTAGATGCTAACATGACACGGCATGGTACTGCGGCACAACTTTACTGACGGAGGTGCACCCATGACCAGGCATGGGCGCGCCACAGTAACCATGCTTTATAAATTGCTAACATTTTTAGGACGCTTTTGGCGTGACATTTACCAAAGGACCTATGAAGCTCAATCGGCATGGAGAGCGGTGTGACCGTTTTTAGACCTAACCCCTTTCACTCGGTGTCCGAAAGCGGACCACAGGCGACGGCATGTTTGTTGACATCAATGCATCCGGTGGGCAAAACGTGTCCGGACAATTCCTCGACACCAGCTTCGTTAGGTGTGTTCCACACCAACAGTGAACACCGCTCTGTTTCAACAGTTAAAAGAGAGCGGCGTTAGGTGTGCTTGCCGCTCTGTTTCACTGTTGATCACTTCCGCAACTACGCATTTGCAGCCATGAGAGCATGTACTGCTATGCTTGGCTTGACTTGACGTGGCCTGGCCGCGGCGAAAGAAATTTGGCCTGGTGACTAGCTGAGTTGGACGCAGTTCGGGACTAGTGGAGCCGAAAATTGGACGTGCATCATTACGCTAGGGGAAAAAAAAAGTCGAAATATTGATGCCCATTGTGGGGGCTGCATTCATTTTGCGAGTAAATGCGTCATGTTCAATACAAGAAAAACGAAATGGACGATCGGCAGCGAGTGAAAGGCCCTACTGAGGCGTTGCTACGTGGTTTCTCCAAGCGTGCCGCCGCAAAGCAGTGAAGCTTCACGCCAGAGCGCCGGTACAGAGCGCCGAAGCTCGGTGCAAGAGAGCTGAGAATACCCAAGGCATCATTTTTCATTTTAGAGCATTATAAAAACTAACATGGTGAAGGTGAGCATCGAATCGAATGGCAGATGCCTATTTCTGCGTGTTGTGTTGTCCTTCTCGTCTCGGTGTTGTTATTCGTAATCCTTTGCAGTGCAGTTGAATATAAGCAGGAAAAACCCTGTCCCAAGCACCGTTTAAGCACTGCCACTGTTTGGGAATTGGGGAGAATGTTTGCACAGCCCCGACCGGTTTCAGGCTGGAGGACAGAGCTCCGAAGCGGGTGCTGCCCTTGGCGAGGCTGTCGTCGCAGACTTCGCTGGAGAGGAAGGTGGAAGGGGTTGAATGGTAAGAGTTGCTGCCGTCGGCGCCACGTCGTCAAGGTGGCCGAGGGGCAGACGGTCTTTCTATGCCACGAGGCCTTGAAATGCCAGCTGGGACGGGCTCGTGGTGCATTCCCATAGTTTGTTTGCTTTCGCGAGGTGCTTGCGATGCATTCTGTGACCGCTAAATGCGGGAAATAGAGTGGGTATTAGTCGTCCGCAATAATGAACATGTTCGAAACCTCCAAGCTGAATCTAGCAGATTTAGTTCAAGGTCACTTTTCTATCGTTAGTACAGTAGAACTTGGTCACTTTGTTTTTTAGAGGGCCCGCAGTAGATACTGACTATCTGGGAACACGTAACACCCTCTTCTTTGGCCAATGGACGAGGCGGAAAGCAACTCTCGCGTGGCAGTTTATTGGTATATTTCACGTAGACTTTATTGGCTATGGAGAACTGCCACATTTACTCAGACGTTTTTTCTTTCGGAACTGTTACTTGAAATTAAGGGTTGTTCCGTAATCTCAATCGGAGGATGCCGATCGTGCCAACTCAAATACTGCCCCGCATCGGCTGCTGCTCCTCGCACGCTGATACAAAGCGGCGAAGCTTGACGCGCACAATGTCACGCACGATTATTAGCTTGGAACTCCGCATGAAATGATATTAAAGGGACGGGAGAAACAGAAGCACGCGAGTGCATTCTAAGCTTGTCGCATTATTGAGGAAGCCAAGTGAAGTGGGGCAAAAGGAAGATTGTGTCGGATGGCGTACGTAAGGACCGGGAATGGGAAATTAATGCATATACCCCTATGCATTACTCGCCCCTCATGCACTGGCCTAGGGCCCTCTCTCACTCAACGCCCTGACGCACTCACCCCCCTCGCGCCCCTCACACACTCACTGCCCTCATGCCCCTCGTGCATTCACGGCCCTCATGGCCCTCATGCACTCATGGCCCTCACCACCCTCACATACTCACCGTCCTCATGCATTCTGACCCCTCACAACCTCACGGTCCTCACATGAATTTTCTTGGTTCAGAAACTCACTCACCCTCACCTGTGGAGGTGAGTGAGGGCCCTTACTTAGTTGCTCAAAATCATTCTAACAGAGAAGAACGAATTGGGTGGTGCGAAGCGTATGCGGTGGAAGGCCACTGCAACGGTGTCCGGCGCTATGTTGGTGCGAGTTGGGTATGTGCGTTGGACGGAACCGGTGTCGGCGAACGTCTCGGCCGTCTGAAAAAGTATAGACCGAGAAGGTATCATTGAGGTTCTGCTGTATCGGAAACGTAAAGTGGAGTGCAGCTTCATTAGGGGCTAGATTGGTCCGGGCTGAGTGGGGCAGGGTTTGCAGGCGTGCCGAGGAGGAGGAGGATGAGGGAGAGGCAAAGCTGCCCCCGCTGGTGGCCCCTGCCCTGCCCCCCGTGGGGGACTACCTGGACGTGAACGTGATGGTGGCCGCCAACCCCCTCAACTTTGTCTGCCAGCCCTGGCTCAACGGAGGACAACTCAGCCAGCTCATGGCCGAGATGCAGGTGGGAACCCCACCCCAGTATTCGCTCCTTCTCTCCACGGCGTCCTGGACGAGCCGCTAAACCAGCAGTCGAACGACCCAGCTTGCTTAAAGGGGCACTGCTTTTTGCAATAGTCTGAATCTTTAGGCTATAATCATTCTAAAAAACCAAACATTACAATCCTGCCGATTTCTTTTAATTAAAATTGGTATCGAAAGATTGACACCAGGGGCGCCTTCGCATGAGAAGGGGCAGGGCTCTGCCCTTCCTTGTGTGACGACACTTTTTGGTGTCGCAATAGTTTGGAAGTAATCTATCTTTTGACACCGATTTTAAGAGAAACCAGCCAACCAACTTCAGGAGCCGCGTAAGCATGAAATATGTAGGTCGGTCAGCCCTTAACCGCTAAACGGTTAAGGGCCGGTGCCAGGGATCAAACCCCAATGACCAGTGTGGAAGCCGAGTGCAGTCTGAGCTACTGACCCAGCACGTAGGAACGGGAGGAGCAGAAACAGGTGGTCTGAGGAAGCGTACGGAGAGAAGTGAAAGTGCAAGAAAGGATGAGCGGAAACAGGTGATGTAAAAAATGTTTTTAGAATGAGGACTGGGAGAGCAGGAAAGTGCTCTTCCCTTCTCTGTGTCCCAGAAAATTCAGTGCAAAGAATCTGGAAGGTGCTCAAGGGAAGTGCACACGGCATCACAAAGAGACAATGATGTGACGTGATCTGTTTCCACACAAAACCCTGTCCCAGGCACCGCCTGAACAAGAGCTTCACACACCCTATAAAGCCACTACATTTAAACGTTTTTTACAGAGTGACCAAGCATGCAAGTTTTTTTATTGGGCTTTTTACCGAAGTAGAAAAATCTCTCGTTATAATGAAATTGTTTTTTACGAATTATTGCTTTTTTCAAAGTTTGACGCGGTCTCTATCGCAATGCATGCATTTTGAACTGGATTACTCTAAGTGTATCGATGGCTGGACATGCTTATTGAAAGGATGATCTGGCGAAAGTACAGTACGTAAGACAGCGCAACCCTTCGAAGAGGTGGGCAAAAAACCAGTAGCTTCGAAAGGTGTTTCGTCTTTCACCTCTATAAACGCGCGAGGAGCGTGGAGCACTTGCCTTGACTACGGAGTGTCTGTCGCACCCACGTCTTTGGAGCCCCGACACACCTGCCCGTTGCCCGGCGCCCATATATCTCTTACTCGATTCCGACTTGTCGAGTCATGGGGGCGAAGAAGGCGGAGATTGCACCTTCTCTGCACGCAGAGGAATGGTGCAGCGTGTTGAGCGACAGTTCCGACACTTCACACGGTGCCCGTGGCCCAGCTCGCGTCAGAATCAAGTCAGGGAAGCACATCCCCTGCCGGCGCCCACCTCTTTAAGAGCACTAACCCAAGTTATCTATTAAAGGACACATGCAAAGGAAAAAAACAATTTTTTTTAAATGGCTAAATTGGAAAAAAGACGCAATAAAACGATTTTACAACGAAGAAAAAAAATTTTTAGAGCTATATTTACGGCGCAAAACGAATTTGTAGTTGGCGCCCGCGGGCACCGCGGAAAAGTGGTCCGTATTTATCACGTGACTGGTCCTTATTTATTATGTGGTGCTTGCATTCTTTCGGAAGCTTCCTATGGCCTCTAAAAGTAACTTATTCATCTTTGTTTGAAGTCTAACAAAAAACTAAGATGAATAAGTAACTTTTAGAGCCCAAAGGAAACTCCTGAAAAAGCTCGAGCAGACGCGATAGACCTGTGCGCCGGTCAGACGACGGCGGCGCGCCCCGAAGCAGACGAACTTGTGCGGCGGCGGCGACGGCGGCGTGGAGAAACGCATTGAAGCGGCGTTCGCACAACGCTCAGCGTACGGCAGCGACGCAGCGCGGCGGTGCGCGGGCCTACCACGTGATCAGCAGCGGCTCCCGCGAGCACCAACTACAAATTCGTATAGCGCCATAAATATAGCTCTAAAAAAATGTTTTTCTTCGTTGTAAAATTGTTTTATGACATCCTTTTTCCATCTAAGCTGTCTAAAAAAAAATATTTTTTTCCTTTGCATGTGTCCTTTTAAAGAAACTGTCTTACTAAAACTGTTTAGTACAGCAAGAGCTACAGGGGAGAGAGTGCATGCCCACCTGTTCAAAGGAGTGAAAGAAGGAATGAGAGAGAAGGGCTGGGATCCTCCCGTTCCTCCTTACCTATTCTTCAACAGGTCGGGATACACCCCCTCTTCTGTAGCTTTGGCTATACTGTGGTTGACTTCGCAACAGGAAAACACGTATTTGCCTGTTGACGCTGCATTTCCGGATCACGTGCGCATCGAGGCAGTGCCTTTGACATCGTGTTCTGTGTTGCGAAGGCAGCACAGCTTGTCTGCCGCATGTACGGTAGCTGCGTGCAACCTGCATCACTGCTGAGGGCACCGCCAAAACCTGCACGGAAGTGTTCGACCCTGGAACAGAAACTCAAGCTGGTCCGACAAGTGGAGAAAGGTGGTCGACCCAAGTTGGAAATTGCGAAAGAATTCAACATCCCGGCATTGACGCTGTCAACCATCCTCAAAAACAAACACAATGTGCTGGGAGGGTTTCAAAAGTGCTTTCAAAAGATTTTCTCAAGGAAGAGAAAGTGCGTCTGGGATTCGAAGTATCCCGAAGTCGAAACTGCACTTCTCAAATGGTTAAAGAATGCTAGGGCCTCCAACTTCCCCATCCATGGTCCCACCTTGACTGCCAAAGCTGAGGCGCTGGACTTGCAAATTAACAAATTAGACTTCGAGTGCAACAATAGATGGCTTGAGCGATTTAGGAAGTGGCATGGTGTGATTTCCAAGACGATAGTGGGCGAAAGTGGAGCGATCTGCAAGGACACCGTGGTTACGTGGCGAAGGCATTGCCTCGCCGAAATATCGGAGCAGTACACGGATAAGGACATCTAGAACCTCAACGAGGCCGCGTTTTACAGCAGAGCTCTTAAGGGCTAGTTTTCCCAGTTTCGTGTCCGCGGACAAACAAATGTTGTCACAAAACTCCAGACAGCTACCGCCATCTATGAGCGACAGCGGCAACCAGACAACCGGCTTGACATTTGTCTTGTTGCTGTTGTCGCTCAAAGACGGCAACAACCTTTCCAACCTTTCTACTGTGGTTTTCACCGAGTGGAATGGCTGAATTTCTCTAGGTGTCGTCCTAGAAGTCGTCCTTGAGGTCGCCCTAGACGTTGTCCCTGAGGTCGTCTTCGAGGTCGTCCTAGAAGTCATCCTTCAGGTCGTCCTAGATGTCGTCCTCGAGGTTGTCCTAGAAGTCGTCCTTAATGTCCTCGAGGTCGTCCTAGAAGTCGTCCCTGAGGTTGTCCTAGGCGTCCTAGAGGTCTTCCTAGACGCCGTCCTTGAGTTAGTTTTAGACGTCGTCCTCTAGGCGTCGTCCTTGAGGTTGTCCAAGAAGTCATCCTTGAGGTTGTCCAAGAAGTCAACCTTGAGGTTGTCCAAGAAGTCAACCTTGATGTTGTCCAAGAAGTCATCCTTGAGGTCGTCCTAGACGTTGTCCTCTAGGCATCGTCCTAGACGTCGTAAAGATGACACCTTCGCTGGCCCTCCATCTTCATGTGAAGGAAGTGGGAGGGCTCGACATTTTTCCTACAAGATCTTGTCCAAGCGCACTTTTACGACTGCGGGTGGCTCCTCGTCCGGAGGCAAACAAAGCAAAGAGCGCGTCAGTGTGCTGTTTGGAGCGAATGCTACAGCTGACCATAAGCTTCCCCTGCTCTTATTAGGGAAAACTGGGAAGCCTCACTGTCTCCGGAACGTGATGCTCCCAGATGACTGCATATACAAAAACAAGCAGAGGTGGGTGACGGCTGCTTCCTTCGAGGACTATGTGCGCCTTTTTGGTCGCAAGTTCGCGAAGGAGCAGCGCGAGGTGCTGTTGTGTGTCAACAGCTGTCCCAGCCCTGAGAAAATCAAAAACCTACAAGGCATCACTTCGGAGTTTCTGCCATCCAACACAACTTGCGTGCTGTCACCCATGGACCAAGGCATTATTGAAACGACTCGGAAACTGCACCGCAGGAACCTTCTGCTTGTGTGTCCAGGGCCTGTCGGATGAGGTACCTTGAGAGGTACCCACGACTGGAGAAACGCAAAACATGCTTTGCCTTCTTTGCAACAAAGTGGAGCGTGGCGGCAGCGATGACAGCCTCATGTGGTGCTTGAAGCAGTTGGAGGACACCTTTTTAATGCCTGCTAAAGACGACCGGCAAACTGATCTCCCGTCTTTTTTCGTGTCTCAGAAAGCCTGGATAATCAGCAAGGTTTGTTTCATTGAATATATATTTGTTATAAGCCTTCCACACTGTTCTTCTGCGCTTTCAAGGTTACTCTTCTCATGGCTCACATTTTTATCGAACTACCGCTTTTATTGAATCTTTCTGCCGTCCCGTTGGCTTCAATTTAACGAGGGATTAGTGTAGTATTTGAGGTGACCAGCAAACTAGCCATTTGCAAGTTCTTTCTTCCGAGTTGAGCACATGATGGTCTCTTAACTGCTCGAAGGAATTTTTTATGGCAAAACCTCATAAATTAAGTTTCAGTTCTGAAAATTTGATAATGGCACCCAACACTCTTCAGTTGGGAGGAAGTTTCTCTCACTCAAAAAGAAGTTTGTCAAGAAAAAATCCATAGCAAATTGCTGAATGTTGCACGTCAAACTTCAGTCCTCTCGGATTGACGTTCTTGGCGCTCTTCATGGGTTAGTTTAGCAACCCGGCTTAACGGGTGGCATGTACACTCGATAGCAACCCTGGCGCTGTTTCCTCCATATCTGCAGATGTGTTCCCGACGACCTCTGTCGGGCGGGCGAGCAGTGGCGCGATCATTAGTGAATTCAATGTCAAGCGAGCTTGGCCTCGTGCTTGACGTCATACCTGAACCAGCCCATCAGCGTTGTCATCACCTGACTCGGCCAATCAGCGTCGAGTTAATATGGGGCTTCAGTTTTCGGCCTCAGGAATTCCTG